ACACGTGCCCTCACCCTTTTTTCTCCTCTGGTTGCTACATGTGCATGAGCGAGTATATTAATCCTTATGATAAGATTGTTGTGATGATTGAAAATCAAGTACTATATAACATTGGTAACTGTTTTCCTAGGTTTGGTTTGACATTCATATAAGCTTGAGAATGCTTTGATGCCTTTTCCTATCATGTGCAGAGAGCTTCTTTACTTGATATACAAGATGATTTGTTCAGTGTACAACAAAATTTAATCAAGGAATTATCCAACCTCAGGGAGGTATAATTTGTTCATATTGTTATTTCTTAAGCTAAATTTTCCTTCGAGAGATATATCTTCTTAATTTCCTCTTTCTTATGGTGCTGGGCATTCATTCTCTGTGATCAGTTAAGTCACGGAGGACATTAATGTATCCTTTTGAGTTTAACAACAAATTTTTTAGTGTGTTTAACAGTTTTAAATTAAGCATTTACTATTCTGTTTATGTTATCCGAGTTTGCTGTTCAGATAGTCCTAAATCCCTCCTTTGCTCACTGCTTTTGCACTTATGAGCCCATTTTGGTTTTGTAGAAGCCTTGCTGTGGGGATGATGCACCTTTAGGAGAGACAGGGATGGAGCCCTTTAGTTTTACGTCTGCTAAGGGTAATCAGGGACAGGGAGCACAATGGGGTAATATTTCTCTTTGAGAACTTTACCTTGCAAATTTCTGTTCGGTTGGTTGGTTGTTTCTAATAGACTTAAATAGCACCTTTTTGTTTTTTTGGTCCCAAGATTGAGCATACTACAGCTAGCGCCTGTTATTGTGATCCTAAGAGGTTATATATAGTACACATAGTGTAAATCATCTTTCAGATTCCCAATACAATGTTGTCCAAGTATTACACTGGGTAGAAGGCTAAGGGAAAGCAGATTATCATTCTTTTAAGTATTTCAAATTGTTATGCATGTGGATCACCTTAGTACAATCATGTTTATATTTTGTCCTTCATAATTTGAATTTCTGCACCTCTTTATTTATTTTCAAATGATTTTTGGTGTCTAAAAATCTTTCTTGCATTGTGAGCCGCCTCATCATGGTCCAACATGGCACAAACATTGATTGTTTCTCATTTTAAATTATGTGTATAATGATTTAGTGGATTTTTTTTAATAGATGTTGTGTCATAATGCAGATCACTACTTTGCCCATAATTTTGGCAGACAGGGAATTCTTCACTGGAAATTTCAATTACAGGTGCATCTATTCTTATTCTTTCTCCAACTTTATTACATTTCAATTTGATCTAGTTTGATATCTTAAGCTTGTGATCCATGACTTTATTTTAAAATTTTGAATTCATATGATGTATATTATTTATCGATGGACACTTCTTAAACCTCCAAATAAAATAGTTGGCTTTTCAGGCTTGTCACACCTTCACCTTTACCATGAGTTAAAGTTTAGGAGGCTGATTCTTGGTTTTGTCATTTGAATTGTTCTCTTCTGTTAGTTACATGTCATTTGTTTAATCACAATAGATTTAACATTGACAGCATGAGTTGGCAGTAGATGGTGCAAGGCTTTTTGATATGGATGCTTCTTATCAAATTTTGGTCCTTGCTCGAAGGATATTGGGAATGGGTGGCACACACATGCTGAAGAAAGTAATGTTCTTTTTGAGCCCCAGAAAAAAAAAAAAAAGAGGAAAAAAAAAGCTTGCACCATCATGTACATGTCTTTGAGTTTATTACTTTTCCAGACCTTGTATGCATAATCGGTTTAAGATTTCTGTTGCCACAGGTCAACTTGATCAATCCTTTAGAAAATGAAGACATACAGCTTCCTCCAGGTACAAAAGCCATTAAGGACCTACGTGTATCCCCATGTGGTAGACTCACCCTTTTAGCTTCATTGGGAAAGAAATTATCAATTCTTAGGTTCGCCTATTTTATCCTTTTGGCCAATGTGATTCTTTAAGTGCAATTTGTTGTTGGAATTTACGTGTTTCTTTTTTTGTTTCAGCATGGGAAGCAACAATTTTGTCATCAATTATGACTTACCGGTACAAAGTTTCCTTTATTCTCTATATTGCAAGTCTCGAGAAGAAATGTTGTTGTTTTTCTGCTAGTGTGTGATGTGCGTGTCTATCGGACTTCCTTAACTGCAGCACATCCAATTTTTTTTTGTTTTTAAAATTTTGGAATAAGTGTTGTCTGTGATCGAATCAGTGGCCCCATGGCAGATTACAGGGATCTAACAGAAGATTGGATCCCTGAATTGGGACTTCTAAAAAGTTCATAGTCATGTGGTATTATTGCTTGCGTATATTGTATTATGATATTCTGTACTTGCCATAATAAAGCAGAAGGATTTTCCAGGTCCTATTTAGCCAAGTACTCATGGTTCCAAGTTATGGAGCCACGTATAATTAATTTTATATGGACTACTATTTGTTGTACTACCGTTACCGTTTGTTTTTCTATTTTGTCTACCATTTTCTGACTAAACATGGTATATCCAGGGCCAAGCATGGTCGTGCTCATGGGATCTCAACAGTCCACATCATATATATACTGGTTTACAGGTTTGATCCTTAACTATTAGTTATATGCTTATAATCATTTGGGTCTGTTTATGAAGTGGTTATAAATACATGATATGATACTGCATAGTGTCATCTTAAATATTGTAGTAGCAGATCTGTATCTGTTCACCCCTTTATGTGTCCATTTTTGGTTGACATGATGATTTTGGCCTTCAGTGTGTTATTCGTTTTAACTATTCAGTATCATGCTATTATAATTTGATAAATATTAGTTTATTGTTGGAATGCTGATCATCTCATTCATAATTTGGCAGAATGGTATGCTTTTAATGTTTGATATGCGTCATAGCCAAACTCCTCTGCACTCTTTCATTGGGCTGACCCCCCGGCCAATTCATACTATACACTCCCTTCGGCAAAACCGTGCTTTCAGTCACAGAACTCAGAAATTGCTCACTGCCTCTTCCAGTGGCCCTAGCGTGTGGAACATTGGTAGTCCTAGTGAAAGGTTAGTCTTATGAACTTGTTATGATTTGTCCATTTGGTTATAATATGTTGTGTTGGCTCTTCTAAAAAGGCTGAACTTCTCGCTGTTAAAAAGTTGAAAAAGCTAAAATAAAATAAAATGTCAAAATGCTCCATATATGGTAGCATGTTCACTTTCTAGTAATAGAAACAGCAATGCTTAAAGACAACATGTTATGAACTGGTTGACATTCTAACTAACTTGTATCTAAACATCTCTTGAAGGCCCTTTCCGGTCCCTGGATCAGAGGATCAAGGTGCTTGTGTATCAGTAGCGTACAGTCCCTCAACTGATGACATTGTTGCTTCATATCGTCCTAAAACAGAGACATCCAGTAAGACTGGGGGTTCTCAAGTTCTTATCAAGAGGGTAGCTGGTTGCTTTTATCATAAGATTGGATCTGTGCCAGTTCATTTGAGTGACTTTCATCTGACAAAGTCTGCCATGGTAGACATACCGAACTGCTACCCATTGTTTGCGTATGGTGACGAAGTGACCCGTGGACTGAAGCTGCGGGAATTGCCAAGTCTAAAAATGAGCCAGAATTTTGAACCTCATCAACATCCTATCCTTGATGTGAAGTATGCACGTTCTCAGGGAAAAGGTTTACTTGGTTGCGTGAGTGAAGACAAGTTGCAACTTTTCTCAGGAGAGGTCTGATTGAGGTGCATTTTTATTGTAAATAGTGGTGCTAAAATATTTTCGGAAATCGAGAGGCAAAAAAAATTTCCAGCAAAAAGAAAGAGATCCGCAACTGCAAGGATTCACCCATCACAGTCCTCCATCAGTAGTTCACTACCAAGCATCATCTGAGCTTAAGATTTACCAGTCAGCAGTGGTTCTCATAATCATAAGCAAAGATTTATCGTCCATGTGGAAATTTGAGGAGGCCAATAAGAGTTAAGCTCTAAGTTAAACGTCCCGTCTTTTTTTGGGCCCGGAACTGGTAGTGATATGCTCTTCTCTGGTGATGGCTTTTGGTCTGGTGATATGTTATGTTCTACAGCAGATTTCCCACAGCTTCTCATTCATGAAAATATTTTTTTAAAATGAAATAACTCGTTTGTTCCGTAAATGAAATAACTCTTTTGTTCTGTAAATGAAATAACTCTTTTGTTCTGTAAATGAAATAACTCTTTTGTTCCTCATGAAAGCTTCCACTACACCAAACTTGTCGAGCTCACCATCAAGAAAAAGAAAACTTGTGGTGTTGAGATAAACAAAATTAAGAATACGAATAGAAGCACGTGCACCCAAAAAATAAAAATGGAAGCACTCTAAAAGAAATTTTTTTTGGGGGGGGGGGGGGGTTTTTTATTTATCTAAACTTTAAACAGTGTAATGCGTTGAGAAGAAGTGGTGGTGACTCTTTTTTTTTAAGTGAATTTTATATAATCTATATATATAAAGCAGAAGGCAGAGAATGATAAAACATTCAACATACCAGAAAATATCATTGGTTAATGCAAACATTAATAATTGAAATTATTAATTAAATGAGAATAATATGGTAAATTTACACTTTTTCATATTAAAAAAATTAAATTAAAAGAAAAATAAGATAATGAATCCTATTTTTATGGAACACAACTACCCATTATCTTTTTTAATTCTAAAATAAATTTAAAACTTTAAAAAAAAAAAGCATCTCGCAAGAGTGGAAGCCCATGCTGAGAGGTTAGTTATTATAAAGTTCGAGAAAAAGTGACCAATTTTGCTTATAATAAAATAAAATAAAAAGTGATAACTTTTTACTAAAGAATTAGTAAAAGTCCAATTTTTTGTGGTGAGTGTGAAGAAAAAGCACTCAACTATTTAAGTGGAAGTCTAAAAAAGTGATATTTTCTTTTTCTTTATAGGAAAAAAAAGAGAGAAAAAGAGAAACTTTTCTTCAAAATTAAATTTCGTGTTGGAGTTGGAGGTGGTGGTGGCTGGACGACATTCTCATAACTTCAAAATTCAATTTGTGGAGAAACTTTTTAGTCCAATCCGAATCACGTCCACATCGGCAACAGAGAGTGACTGAAAACCACTGCGCGAAGCCAACAAAACCATAAAACCAGAAAAACAAAAGAAACGTTTCTGACTCTTCTTATTGCATTGTTGCTCACCCAAACCAAACCCACATATTTTTCAAAAGCCAAATTCACACTCTTTCTCTCTCCCTCTCAATCTTTGTAATCTGTGAACGCTTCCCGTGAAACGTAGGCAACAAGGTACTTGTCTAGCATTAAATTCATCTCTGTTTTTCCTTTTTCTTAGGAGTTTCTGGCTTTGGTATGAAGTGTGCTCATAGATCTCAAATGGGGTTACTTTGTTTTTGGCTTTTATGGAAGAAATGCATTGGAAATGTTTGAAATCTTGTGGGTTTTCCATTTCTGTGAACTTCCCCTTTTTCTCCGGATCTATCTTTTCTGATATGGTTGTCTTCTACGTAGTGTTTCTTTTTAATCTTTGAAAATTGCCTTAAAGATATGGTCTTTTAGTTATTTTCATTGTACAGCAACAAAATGGAAATAAATGTGAAGTAGATTAGTTAGTTTGGAGGTGAAGAAAATGGATTTAAGGTTAATACCTGAAGATTAAGTTCCTTTGGTTCTGGGTTCATTATTGAATTATCTATGTTCTGGGTTTGCAACGAATGATTTACATTTTTGCTTGAAGAATTGAATGTAAATTCTATATCGTTATCATGACTTGTGCTCTTGTTACAAGGGTCATTCTTTCAATTGGGTTTCTGTCAAATTAGGTCACGGCTCTTACAGTAGCCTCTTTGTTTTGTTATCAAAGAATCATCTTTTAAGCTCTTTATGGGGCTTCTGGGTAAATGATGAAAGGCATGAAAACAATACTCACCTTTGCAATCAACATGGATAGTAAAATATGCAGAATTGAATTTGCAGGCCCTATTCTTGGAATATTGTAAAGCTTGAGGAAAGTAATTTTTGGATATTTCAACATGGATGCATATGACTTTATAATTAAATCAATTATATGCAATAGTGGAGCTTATGAAGTTAGTAATTTGCCTATAGGTAGTTATTTATGTTTAGCAACATGTGCTACATGATAATTTCTTCTTCATTTATCTTTCGTTTCTCTGTTTGTCACCTGGTGGAGCTTCCATATTGCTAAGCAGTAATTGCTTCAGAAAATTTTGCTTTTATTTCAGGTGGCCATATGTGTTGGTAAAACACTGGAAGGTGCTTCTCAAAAGAAACAGTTCTTAACAATCTTAGTGTCGTCACGGAAAGGAATGGTCACTCAACTTGGAGAAAATGGATGTGAACACTGGAAATTCCCGTTACAATGAAAAGCAATCTTTAGTTCATTCCAAATCTACCAATGAAGAAAAAAGGCCTGCAGAAAAAGAATCGAGCACTCCTGTATTTGTTAATTATGGTAAGTTCTTTAGATAATATTTGCTCTGATGACGATGCAAGTCCCCATTATCATTTCCTAACAACCCAAAAAACAAAAGTTGATTTGTTTTTGTCATTAAGTAATTGGTATCAATAATTTGTTCTTTGGAGAGATAATCAAGCTAATTTACCTTGTAGCTGCAATTGCTTGGCATGAGAGTAGAAAAAAGTGGGTTGGTGATCAGCGGATGCAAAGAATGGCAAAGGATCCAATCATAAGGTAATTCTTCTCCAAAAATCATCATGGATAGAATGGAGTTAGTTGTTGTTATAGTCACAATTAAAGAATTTACATCATGGATATTAGTAAACTAGAAGCCTCTATCTCATTTCTTGAATTTTAGTTTGCAGGTTTGCCAAAAAGGTGCTTCTTTCCTCTTTTGGAATGTTATATACTAATATATATATATATATATATATATATATATGCGTGTGTGTGTGTGTGTGTGCATGTGCGTGTTTTCAAATATTTTCCACCTTCAAATTTAAACACCGACATAAACCTAAGAAGTTCCTGCAACATTAGAATGGTGTTGATGGCAATAACTTACATACCTCTGTCATGATTATTGATGATAATCCGTGGCTTTGCCCAATTATTTCGGTTGAATTATAGCTACTGAAAGAATTTCTGGAAGATGATGCAAAATTTTATGTTGCAGCTGGTCAACAGCATATGAAGATCTGCTTTCGACACATGACTCTTTTCCCGAGCCAATCCCCTTAACTGTAAGTTTTTTTGTTTGTTTCCCAAGATGATTCGATGTGTTTAGTTTGTAGAATCAGATTTTGCGATATCTTGTAATGACGTTTTCTTAGTATTGTGAACTTAAGTGACTGGTGTACTGTGCAGGAAATGGTAGACTTTTTAGTTGATATATGGCATGATGAAGGCCTCTTCGATTAGACAGTGTGGAGACAGATTAAAGTTGAAGAAGTCATGAAAACCCCTTACAGTCCCTAAATATAATCTAATTTCATGTAGATGATCTGATACATGCGGTGGGAAAGCATTGCTAGGAACAAAAGGAAAATCCTTTTTCGTCTTCTTAATTCTTTGCATTGTAAAATCTAGATATTGTACAACATTACCTCTTCAATTGTTGGGGAAAAAATTAATGTAATCCCACTCAGTTCTAATTCTAAACTATGACTACGAATAATTTAAAGGAGAAGTTTGTTGAATTTGTTGCTTTGCCATCAGAGGTCCAAAGTCTGAGGATCATGTGTTTCAATCTTTCTACCTATTACCACAATTACCAATCCAATTATTACAATTTACAAAGTAAGCATTGAACATTTAAGATTTACGCTTCATCATAGTATAATCAACAGACGGACTTGAGGATTTAAACTTCTGATACATAGAACTCGAGTCTCGGCTAAGTGATACTTCTATTTCCAACCTTATATAATATATCCAAAATTTGACTCTTCCCTTCTTCTCCCGTTAAAAAAAACAAAACAAAACAAAAATACTCCCCTTTTCTCTTTTGTTTTAAAAGAAAATTTAAATTGATAGACCTTAAAAACAAGACAAGGAAAGCGCGGCGAAGGATAGTTGGTGGTTCTAGTTGCCAATTGTTTTCACACTTTATAGAAGGAGGTAAACGCGGAAAGGAAAAGTCTCAGTGGAGGGAAACGAGAAAATAGATACACACGCTTGGATTGGATCTTAAATCACAAGCGAGAGAGCATTGTTGCTGTTCAGTATTCTTCGTTTTCCTGAGAATTAGAAAGAGAGAAAACGAAGGGAACAAAATTAACGAACTAAACAAGATGAACAAAGTCAAGAGCTTGTTAAAACCGAAACCCAACCCATCAGAGCAGCTGAGAGATTGGCAGAGACGACTTCGCCAAGAGTGCCGCAACCTCGAGCGCCAAATCAGAGGCAATGCTCTCTCAATCTCTATTAAAGTTTCCTTCTTTTGCAAATTACATATGTTTTTTGTTCTGGGTCAATTTCAGTTGGTTTGGATTTGCTTTCATTTGTTTTTTTTCAATGGTTTTAATTTATGGGTTTGTCTATTTTTTGTTGGTTTGTTGATTAATTTAGTCTAAAAAGAGATGCTTTCGTTTCTCAGATATTCAGAAAGAAGAGAAGGCTGTGCATAAATCCATTAGAGAGGCTGCCAAGAGAAATGACATGGGCACAGCCAAGGTACTGTAAATTTTGATGTTAATGTCTCCTCAATCATCAATAAGTTTGCCAGCAAGTTAGAAACTGGTTGCACAAAAGCATTCTTTTCAAAATGGGAACTTGAAGGGAAAGCTTTGCTTGTTAGCTTATGAAGGTTCCAAAGTCCAGTTGTTCACTAATGTCGAGGTTATGCCCATTGGAATCATTTTCTGCTTTATGGTTTTGGGCCATTTGATGTCTTTGTTTAGTATAATCAGAACCTGTTTTTTGTATTCATAGGCTTTTTACATGTAGAATGCTAGTAACGAGCTCCTTAATCCTTGTGATGGATGTCTACTTGTGTTAGCTTCTTGTTGTGATCATCATATCATGTAGATTCTGTGTATTGATCAATCTGTGAATTAAGTTCAGGCACTTGCAAAGGAAATTTTGATGTCGAGGAAAGCTGTAAATCGCCTTCATGAAAATAAAGCCCAACTGAATTCAATATCAATGCACCTCGGAGAAAGTGTTGGTATTGCTTTACACTTATAAACTTTATTTTTGTTCACCTATGCTTATGTTTTCTCACATTTGTGCCTTATATGTAACTCCTCAAACTATCCCCACCCCCTTCCCCTTGGTTTAAGTCGGCTGCTTGTTATTTATATGTTGTATGTGCTTGCAGCACTTGCCCGTACTGTTGGTCATCTGTCAAAGAGTGCAGAGGTCATGAAACTTGTCAATAACCTCATGAAAGCTCCGGAAATGGCTGCCACAATGCAAGAATTTACCAAAGAAATAACCAAGGTAAGATCCCTTAAAACACTTTTTGGGTGGCTGTTAGAAATTGTAACTCCCCCTGATCCCTACTTTCTTAAGTGAAGTGGGGATTATATCTCTTGCTTTGTTTTTTTAACTGTTTATCTGTCTTGAAATGTTATATGGTGTATTATGTCACATAATTATCCTATAAATGATTCGACTGAGATATTTGAATTCTCTTCTTGTAGAACCTTGGGTGTTATTTATTCTGAACATGCTTGTTATTTTCAATTTCTCTTCCTTAATCAATGAACAATGAGAGTGCTGGATATTACCAAATCCGTTTGACAATAAGAATGAATTATATCTGAGTACATCTTTTGACTGGCTCCCTGTTTGGGGAACCATATATTTTTTTTAAAATGTGAAGAGAATGAAGCATATCTGAAGCTTCAGTATGTGGAATTTGTTTAGGTGCTTGTTTACTTTATATATAGCTTCTATTTTCTTCAAATCTTTAGATGTAAGTCTATTTGGTCATACAGGCTGGGGTGATTGAAGAATTTGTAAATGATGCTGTTGATTCGGCATTAGATTTGGAAGATATAGAAGAGGAAACCGAAGAAGAAGTTGAAAAGGTCCTTAGTGAAATAGCTGGTGAGACAGCTGCACAGCTTCCAGAAGCGGTCAGGAAGGAGAGGACAAAGGTAGCTGCCCAGGGAGCTGGTGCTTCACAAGACGTATGTGCAATAGACTCCATTTCTAGCTTCTCTTTGTTCCTTTGCAAGATGCAAGGATATAACTCTTGTTATTAATTCATGCAGGAAGAAGCTATAGCAGAGGGTGCCGATGATGAGGAAGAGTTAGAAGAATTGAGGGCACGGCTTGCTCAAGTGAGATCGTAACTTTTCATGACGTACTTGCAGCTTGTTCCCTTGTTATTAGGGAAAAGTGTTTGTGTATTTTGTAAAGGCCTATATTTAGTACATCCAAAGTTTAGAAAGCTATTGTTCTATTCAATAGTTAAGGGCTCTAGACACAGCTTACAATGTATAAACAAGACAAATATTGTATCGATCAGTTATCTAATAGATGCCTTATTAGTTATAACTAGGTTCTGTTTGTGCAATACACATCGATTTATACGTATCGTTATACTTCGTATATATATCAACAACTGACAATCATCTGCGCATGCCTTACCTCAAGTTGATGGCTACAGACTCTGCCGTAAAGCTAAGGTTATGGTCTATACATAGCTTCTGACAAAGACATCACTTGGGATGATCACATTTGTTATTGTTTGTTTTGCCTGTAATTGTAACGCACAAGTCTTGATTTAAAAGAGCCAAAGCCGCTAACTCTACTGGCGAGTATGGCGAGTATTGCATTTTCTGATTAGATCCCATCAATACTCAATTTCATTCTCATCCAAAAAATCATTCAATCAGCACCACCTTTCCCAGTTCTCTTTCCATAGCTAAGTAGTTGGTCCAAGTGGAAGGGGCTTGGATCCTTTAAACAAGAGGTCCTGGGTTCGATCCCAGGCTCTTGCGAATAGAGCAGACTTTGCTGGGAGAGGTCCCCGCTTTGCGCCCGACAGTACCTCGAGGGTTAGTCCCCGCAATCGCGCGAGGGATACCTTGGTTTTCACCAAAAAAAAAAAGTTCCACTTCAACCTCTTTGCTCAAACTTTATACATTTACAATAGAATTAGGAAAAATTATTGCACGGTACTGAAATACAATCACGTAATATTATTAAGGCCTAGTTTATAACATGAGTAAATTGGTGACGCCTTGTTGAAAAATTATTCATCAACGTTCTTCATGTTTCAAACTACTTTACCTAGTTTTTTCAGAAAAAATTTATCAATCTCCAAAGTCGGTACAACATACATATTGTCCTTTACAAGATGTGAATGAATGGGGATCATCCTCAGCCTCAAGAGAAACCTTCTGCGTGCTGCACTCCTTTAACAGTGAACCGCTTTACACGTAATTTACAACCCCCACCATTTTCTTGTTTTTTGGCTTATTTTAAGGCAATTCCTTTCTGCAACTGAAAGCAACGAGGACACGTCACCGCCATAAACCAAACACCGTCTCAGCACCCAATCCCCTGCAACCAGTTCCACCAACTCACGCTCAATAGGCCCCACGAAACTAAATCTGACGGTGCTGATCCGTTCAGCATCTATACTTGACCGCATGGGATGAATACCCCAACTACTCACCCCAACAACTCAACAGTCCACTTATATATCGTTGGGCGTCGAGACCGTTAGTTACTGCCTTCTCTTCTTCCCCGTACTCCATTTTCTCTCCCATTACATTTCTTCTCCGAACCCTCTGGGCCTCGCCAGGTCCAGCTTCCCGTCCGTACACGCGAAGGAGCTCATCAGAGCCTTCAATCTCTTCCCCAAGGAAGATATCAACATCATCGACAGCCCTGATTCCTCGATCTTCCACGATTCGCCGAGGCTCGTCGAGAAGCGCTTCAATCTCCCCAACCTCGTCGGCTCCGGAGTCTCCCTCGAGGACCTCGGCCATCGGCCGGCTACTTTAAGATCGAGCATTCTCATGCCTCGAGGACCTCGGCCACCATGCCGGCTACTTTAAGATCGAGCATTCTCATGCCGCCAGGTCAGCTTTGTAAACGCTTAGGATTCAGTCGTTTTAATGCTATCAAATTGCTAATTTTGTGTTGCATGGTCAATTTGAAGTTTTTTTGTTTTGGGGGTTTATTTGGATTTGGTTTGAACTTTAGGGTTTTATGGTTAGCTGAGCTTCAATTTCTAGGAAATGAGTTGGTTAAACTTTCTTATGTTGTGGGGAATTTTATGTATTGAATTTAGGTGCTTGCTTTGTGTTCTTACTTCTCAACTTGTGTGATACTGTAGGATGTTCTACCTTTTCTTCGAGTCTCGCACAAACAAGAAGGACCCTGTTGTTATATGGTTGACTGGAGGCCCAGGGTGCAGCAGTGAATTGGCTGTATTTTATGAAAATGGTCCTTTCAATATCGCAAATAACTTGTCCCTTGTGTGGAACGAGTATGGTTGGGATAAGGTATGTGTGATTGTCTCCATTTTATTCTTCATTGTAATGGTTGGATGTGATCGTGTCTTGTCCTTGATATGTTTGAATCTCGCTTGTTATTTATTTATTTTTTTTACCTATATGCCTAATTTGACAAGATGCTTATGAATGGAGTATTGGTAGTTTGGTAATACTTGTTGTCTTACTGTATCTTTCAGTAATTGCTCATAGGCTCTATCAGAAGTGATCCTCCGGTTCTGAAATTTTTTGAAGAGTAGTTTTATAACAAGTCCTTGAATTATTTGTACTAATATTTTTACCTTGTAAATCGTTTGTGAAAGTTTTTCTAAATCATGTCGCACTTGAATGAAAGTGACTCATAGTCACCTCTTGAATTATATTTATTTTTACCTGCATGATATCTGAGGCTGTCACTGATTTGTATGCATCCTAAAGTAAAGAGCTTGGTGCTGTTAAATGATTTGGGATCATCATATCGGCCATGCAAAGTAGAATTCTTTGTAAATAATGGAGTTTCATGTCTGTTTCTACAGCTCATTGTCATTTGCTTGAGAGGTAACAACGCTATTTTTTATTTCATTTGCAGGCATCTAACCTTCTGTATGTTGACCAACCTATTGGGACTGGCTTTAGTTATAGTACCGACAGACGCGATATTCGACACTCAGAAGATGGCGTTAGTGATGACCTTTATGACTTCTTACAGGTGTGACAGTTGTCCTTCATTTCTAAGACAATGAAGTTCAGTGTAATTTTCCCAAATTTACTGAGCTATTAGTTTCCTATGAACAAATCACTGATTATTAATTATTTTGAATATATATATTCCAAACATAAGGTTTATTGTTGTATTGTATATTAGTATGACTTATTGTGCTCTTTCTATGATATTAGGCCTTCTTTGCTGAGCACCCTGAGTTGGCAAAGAATGACTTTTACATAACTGGAGAATCATATGCTGGACACTACATTCCAGCTTTTGCTGCTCGTGTCCACCGAGGAAACAAAGCTAACGAAGGAGTTCATATAAATCTAAAGGTAATCTCCAAGATTTTCTAGTTTTGAGAATTCTAATGGGTCAGTTCATGGTTTATTAAATTTAGAAAAATTGGTTGAACAGGGATTTGCCATTGGAAATGGGCTCACTGATCCTGCTATCCAGTATAAGGCTTACACAGATTTTGCATTGGACAATGGAGTAATCACTAAAACTGACCATGATCGTATTAACAAAGTGCTTCCAGTTTGTGAAATGGCTATTAAGCTTTGTGGTAAGTGACATATGATAGTGGTCTCTTCCTCATTTTGTAGTTCCTTTTTTTTTCCTTTCAAATTTCTTTTAGTTTCTCTTTATCTTTGGACCCCAAGACATGCAAAATTGTTAGATAAAGTTTGCAGTTCACTTGATCATGATGACACATTAGGGATGGCCTCCTTTCTGTTTTAATTTCTCTTTTTGTGTTTTCTCTTCTCTAAGGTGTGGATGTCTGTCTTAGAATTTTCTGTGGGTTTATCTGTATTATGCGAGCCTGTTCGTACTTATTAGCCACATTAGTCGGTCTCTGCTTCTTGTTTAAATGAACATTCCGTTGTTTCAGGCACTGATGGTACAGTCTCTTGCATGGCTTCATATTTTGTTTGCAATACCATATTCAGTAGCATCCTTGCGCGGGCTGGAAACATAAATGTAAGTTAACTTTTCATTCATTCTTGACAGAATGATTTCCCTTTCATTATTGACAGAATGATTTCTCTTTCATTATTGACAGAATGATTTCTCTTTCATTATTGACAGAATGATTTCTCTTTAATCTATATGTTGTCATTTTCTTATTCAACATGTTTTCTGCCAAAAAAGCATGATAAACTTTTTTATCTGAAAGTTTAAAGAAATTGGTTTTCCCAAACTCAATTAGATCTGTGGAAACTGATGTGAGTTTTAACAAATGATTAATGGCCTGGGCATGCATGTTCCTCAACTTTGTTTTTCCTTAACATCAGCAGGAAAATATTCATGGAGAAAATATTACTTTATCACATTTTCCGAACATCTGTTATTCCACTAATGAGTCAAATAATGCTATGTGGAGCTTGTCATCTTTAGAGATAATGGTACCAGAGGAACTCCAGGTAGATGTGAAGTTTGACAGACATTATTTCATTGTGTAGTACTATGACATCAGAAAGAAGTGTGAGGGGAGCCTCTGCTATGATTTCTCAAACATGGAGAAATTCCTGAACCAGAAACCTGTTAGAGAGGCACTCGGAGTTGGGGACCTAAGTTTTGTTTCATGTAGCTCTACGGTGTATCAAGCCATGCTGGTGGACTGGATGAGGAACCTCGAAGTGGGCATTCCTACTCTTCTTGAGGATGGAATCCAGCTGCTTGTGTATGCCGGAGAATATGATCTAATCTGCAACTGGCTTGGTAGGTCTTTTAGCTTTATTTGATACAACATACCAAACCATCTGTAGTAATATGTATATATACTCGTGCTTTTTTTCTTCCTGATATGTAATTCTTACCCATGCGTATAAATATCTGTGTGATAGGTAACTCAAGATGGGTCCATGCCATGGAATGGTCTGGTCAGAAAGAGTTTGTGTCTTCTCCAGAAGTTCCTTTTGTTGTTGATGATTCAGAAGCAGGAGTTCTTAAGAACCATGGGCCTCTTAGTTTCCTGAAGGTATCTCTCTCTCTCTCTCTCTCTCTCTGTGACATGTGTGCTCACTGAAGGAAAACTGAATTGATTCTCATTAACTTGATTGAATAATCATTACAGAGGTCTGTTTATATATACAAAGTAATAAGGGTAGCTGAGCATTTGACAGCTGTACAGTTTAGTTAGAGATGTCTAAACTAATCATAACAAATCTAACAGTATTCTGTTGAAGTTAACCACTATGATGAACGGTTGTGATCTGATCGTCTTGTTTCTCTATCACTCACATCATCTGCATTTCTATCTATCCGTAGACAATGATTACAAATGCTGACCTAGTTATGTGGTATGTCCAACAACAAACAACAGGTCCATGATGCGGGTCACATGGTTCCGATGGACCAGCCCAAGGCTGCATTGGAGATGCTGAGGAGGTGGACTCAGGGCACACTTTCTGAAGCCGCGGCGGAACCAGAAAAAATGTTTGCTCAGATGTGATTTACCTCAGAATGTGACCCAAAATGGAGTGATCAGTATAGGATATTAGGGTTTCCATGGTTTCTCAACGAGCTTGTAAATATTTCTCCTACACTGTTGAAGCTGTATTGAGTGGCTAATGACAGCTGTACAGTTAAGTTAGAGATGTCTAAACTAATCATAACAAATCTAACAGTATTCTGTTGAAGTTAACCACTATGATAAACGGTTGTGATCTGATCGTCTTGTTTCTCTATCACTCACATCATCTGCATTTCTATCTATCCGTAGACAATGATTACAAATGCTGACCTAGTTATGTGGTATGTCCAACAACAAACAACAGGTCCATGATGCGGGTCACATGGTTCCGATGGACCAGCCCAAGGCTGCATTGGAGATGCTGAGGAGGTGGACTCAGGGCACACTTTCTGAAGCCGCGGCGGAACCAGAAAAAATGTTTGCTCAGATGTGATTTACCTCAGAATGTGACCCAAAATGGAGTGATCAGTATAGGATATTAGGGTTTCCATGGTTTCTCAACGAGCTTGTAAATATTTCTCCTACACTGTTGAAGCTGTATTGAGTGGCTAATAGTTTCTAGACAATGCGTTATCTTTTCATAAAATACTTTGAAATGAATAAAAGACTTGCTTGTGGATAAATATTTGTTTTTTGTACGACTCATGCATTCTTAAGCCGCCGTTCTTTTCGAAAGTTTCTGTGGTTGAAAAAAATATGACCTCTGAAAGACAATTCCATCTACGCACATCGTTCAAACGTCCTGGGCTTTAATAATCTAATAAGTAATGGAAATTGGAAAAGTCTAAGAAAAATAGCAAAGAGACTCCACAGCTGGCCACCTTTTTATTAATTATTCTGAAAAATTCGATATTTTCAATTATTTGACAAATATAGTTAGCCTTGAAGAAGCGAAAAAGAAAAGAAAAAGAAAAACAGAATTTGAACTTAGCTTTGAAATATTATATTTATAGAGTATAGCCGCGCGGCTATACTTATTTCATAGAAGCACGCGCTAGGCGGGTCTTTTTTTCCCTCATAAATAGTACAGCCGCGCGGCTATACTCCGGACTTTTTTTTTAATAAAAAAGGAGGATAGCCGGCGGCTTTTTTGGGGTCCTTTTTTAAAATTCTTTTTAATAAATAGGACGGCTATACTATGGATTTTTTATTATAAAAAAGAGTATAGCCGCCCGGCGTACTGGGGTTGTTTTTAATTCTTTTTATAAATAGTATAGCCGAACGGCTATAATCTTGGGCCGATAATAAACCCGAAACTTGTTTATATCTGCAACCAACTTTATCAAACGAAACGTGTTTGTAATTCCGTGGAGCATTTGTTGCTAAAGCTATGGCAGCTGCTCCTCCTCTTGCTTTCTCTCTAAATAATTTGCTGAATTCTCGTCTGCTTTCAGCTCCTTCAGTTTGGGTTAATTCTTTGGTGGTTCCAAGGATTTCAACAGTTTCTTCGTCGTCATCTTCATCAGCAAAGAAAACCCATCACTTGAAGCTCGAACACTCCCCAAAAGCTTCTTCTGAAGGCACTTTCTCATCTTCTCAACTTAAATTTCATTCATTCTAAAATGACTGGTGATGGTCTGGGCATCTCCTCAATTTGTGTATGAAGCTAAAGGAATATAATAAGATGTTCACTGGAATTACTTCATAGCTTATCTCTCAGAAAATATATTTCAGCTGAGCTAGGCGCTAGGCGGGCTAGACGCTAGGCCGCCCCTCCCTCACAAATTAACTATATAAAATAAAAATAAAAAAATGCCTAGGCGCCCGCCTAGGCCTCGATTACTCCTCTGGGAGCTAGGGGATTTAGTTTCCAGTTACCCGAAAAAAGCTTGTCTTTTTAGATAATGATGTTACCATCAAGATTCACTTTTCATAACTTCACTCTTCTTTTCTTTTGTTCTCATTTTTTTGAAGGCATATACTGCCTACGTATATTTGTTTGTGTGTAATTTGCTTGACAACTTTACAGGAGTTCCCAGTGAGTTGATTGAAGATTCAAAATTCGTTCCTCTAAATGCTGATGATCTAATATATGGTCCACCTGTAAGTTGTGGTTAGTTTCACTCCAATTATGATAAATGCTACTTGCCTATGTTTCTACTTTAGAAGATTGCCCAGAGTAGAGAAAAATCTCTACTTTAGGATCTGATTGTTATGAGATTTTTGTTGGACATTTGGTAAATCTGTTCATGATAAACTTTCAAATACTTGAAAGAATCTTTTATCTGCTGCTTGGAGTAAACGTACTGTGGAATTATCACATAAACCTGCCTTGCAAATGTAAATCATTGATTTTTCCGTAGATGTAAGCTGATGAAATGTATTCCAATAGTAATGAGGTTGAAGATTCAAACTCTCTCTTTTCCAGGCTTTATTATTTTTGGGCTTTGAAGTGGAAGAAGCTGGGAAGGTAACTTTCGCTTTCCCATCCTATTTCAGGTTTTTAGACTACTTTTATTGTTTCCATTTCTGTCTTGACCAATGCATCACAACAGTAAAGTTTTCATTTCTTCTTCTAAAACTGAAACCATTCACAAGGATTGCTGCTTGAAAGTTTCAAAAACCACTTTTCTGTAATTGCTGCAAGGAACCTTCGTCTCGTAAAGTAGATTGTTCTTGTAGATAAATTAAATGGTAATTTTGTAGTGTCACACCTATGAACAATAGTTCTGGCTCATCACTTATGTGTCTTCTGGTGCAGATACAACAGTTTCTGAAAGAGTTGGATGCTGAATTCCTCAAGGTAACCTCATATTTTTATCATTATGTTCATTTTCTATGTAAAAAAGCTACAAAAGAACAGAAAAGAGTAAGTTTTCCTTTTCAGGGTTGACCTAAGAAATTGAAAAGGTCAGTCAATTGTTTACCAATTTTCTGTTGGATCTTAATATCAGTTTTTGTAGGTTATTTATTGTACTGAAGACATGATTACTCGTTCACTCTGGGAAGCAATGAATACAAGCCAACCCAATTTGGAAGCATTGAAGGTTGAAGTATTTATCTTGCTAATTCTTTTATGTTATCTTCCTTCTTAAGTCCTGACTTGTAGCCAGCCTCCAATAATTGACGTTTTGTATTCTGTAGATTGCCAAGGGACTACCACGAATCTGTTTCTTATCTGGTCTTAGTGGGGAGGAGATGATGGCGTTCATTGATTCTTTCCCAGAAGCAGGTACCTTAAAGTTTCTCCATCGATCAAATGGCCATTCTGTGTTGGTCTCATTTTTTAGGCCACTTCTTGACTGAGAATGGATTTCATTTCTTGTATGGAAATGGCCAACAGCCAAATAACATGGATGAGTCTGTATGATTAAATATATCTACGAACCCAACAAAGTTCTCTTTGAAGACAATTTTTATGCCCATGTATATTTACTGGCATTGTTCTTTTGGTTTCCACAGGACTAGGGCTGCCTGTTTTTGCGGCCCTTGTTCCCAACAGTGCTGATAAGCTGCTGGAGGAGTTGATAGAAGAGATTATGGAGGACCATGAAATGCTAGTGAGTATATCTTCTTGCTCCGTTTGTATAAATATACGAAAATCGTCTGTCCGTTATCTGACGTGTACCTTTTTATTCCCATGCAGACTGCAAAGCAAAAGGAAAAGGCATAGGCTATGCAGATTCGATTGTTGAAGATTTGAGTTTTGTTTCTGTGCTTGAGATGTGTATTTAGTGTAAGTCAAAGAGATACGTGAAAATAACTAGTAACTATCATCATTATATCTTTGGAAACGTTTGGAATTCATATATTAGAAACTGCAATCATACAATTACAAACCAATAATGGCCCTTCTTTTGAAGTATATATCTGTCACTAGAGCCAAAAGTGATCCAGGCCATCAGCAACAATATTGCAACAGCGTTGCGAGTAAATCAATTAGAAGATGAATGTACGGCAGTCTCCTGCCAAAAGCATGAAAAAATTGTAAGATTTAGAACCTAATTAACATGAGAACCTGCTGTTCGGAAGCTAGTCCTAAATTCATCAAATTCCATGAAGCTAACTATTGTGTTTACAATATAGCAGTCAAACAATTCCGGTAACAAGATGAAAGGATGTTTTCTAAAACGAAAACTGGAAATTTAATTTTGCCTTGACTTGCTTGAGAGTTCAAATCACCATAGGAAAAAAGACTTTATACGGCAACCAAATTTGTCGAAAGATATGCAGCAAATCCAACAGTACAAACTTAGCTCATTATAGATTTTTTTATTTCTCTTTTCTTTAATTCAACTTCACATGGCTTCTAATATGAAAAAAAACACAGTGGGTACTTGAACCTATGATCAGATCATCAGGGTGCTTAAAATTGGGGGATCAAATAGCAAAGAACCAGGTTTATGCATATCAAGACAATGCAAAATGATGTTCATAATTGCTTAGCTTCAAGGATTTGTATCAAATAAGCAAAGCTATCTGATCATGCTCTTCAATTAACATAAATTGAAACAAACAAGCATCCAAAATAATTTGAAACTGCAAGTAGCTAAACTAGGATCCAATTGATCACTGTTCTTGATCATAAACAACAACAAAACTAAACCATAATATCAAAACAGCAAATTAACAGAAAAAGGCATACCTTGAATGACCCAGTTGAAATCACCCAATTCCAAGTAAAACCCACATCACAAAATCAACCAAACCATTAATCACTAATCATCATCATTGTCACTCTCATCACTAAAGTAACTAGCTTTCTTTACACCCTTCTTCCTCTTCTTCTCCTCCAACTCCTCCCCCACCAGCAACCTCTGGTCGGCTCCACTATCCACCACCGACGCCCAATTATCATCCTCAAACCTCTCACCTCCACTGTCCCCCTCGCCCTCTTCCACACGCGCCGCACTTCCGCCACCACCGCCGCCACTTCTCCTCACTCGTTTCGGCGGCGGCCGCTCCCTGGGTCCCAGCTGGTTCTTCGGACACTCGTACGACAAATGCCCTTCTTCACCGCACTCGTAGCACCGGCTCTTGTCCTTGTACTCCCTCTTCTTAATGAACTCGGGGGCTCGGCCGTTGTCGGAGGCGATGGAGGCGGAGAGCTTCCGGCCGTTGAGAATCTTCCCGTGCATCTCACCCGCCGCCGAGACCGCGTCGGTGCGCGAGACGAACTGGACGAAGGCGACGCCGCGGCTCTGGCGAGTCTCGCGGTTTTTGAGGACCGTGACTCGGGCGATCTTGCCGAAGTGGGAGAAGAGGGTGTGGAGGTCCGAGTTGGTGAGAGAATAGTCGAGGTTTGAGACGTAAAGGGTCGATTTTGATGGAGCTAGGGTTCCTGAGCCCGACCCGCTCTGCTTGGTTGCGGGTTTTCGAGTCTCCGGGGCTGAGGCGTATCGGTAGTAGAAGGTTTCGTCTTCGTCTTCGTCGCTGCTCTTCTTCTTCTTCTTCTTTTCCACCATTGTCGATATCTCTCTCGAAGTAAAGCTCTCGACTTTGAGAGCTTTTTCCTTATTTTCTTTTTCTTTTTGTCTATTTTTGTCAGAGCACGTGGAGGTCACGTGAGATTTGCACAACCAGAAAAGTAAATAAAAGGAAAATGAAAAAAAAACGTTGTCTTTTGTTGAGCTGGAGAGATATCAGATTAGAGAATCGGTTATGATGAGTGTAGAGAGAGAGAAGCTTCCACAAATTGAAAGCTCAATCGCTGAAGAAAGAGGTAGCTGAGAAGAAAGCTTCAGATGTTTCAAAATCAGAGATTGTTCTGCAATAAGACACCAGACCAGTTTTAGGGTTTCCTGTAAGCTAATATCCGTAACTCCTTCTCTCAAGGTACCAATTTTTTCCTTATATTTCTCTGACGTTTTCTTGTTTTTCAGCTTCCTTATCAAGTAAATCGATGAAAAATCTTTTCTTTAGATTGGGTATTAGATGTTTTGTTATTTTCTGAGATGGGTATTGATTGAAATCCATCGTTTTGTCTTTAGGTCGATGATTTCGATTTCTGTAAGTAGAGTTTAGGCCCTGTTCCTTGCTGCACAATAATTTGAAAGATAATAGACAAGTAATTTGATTCAAGCTAAAGGCTTTGACAGACGAATAGAAAGATCCTAGTAATCTGGTAGAGGCTACAAGAAATATTGAAACTAACATACGAGCCTACAAAAATTTGATGAGCTTACATTTACTATTATGACAAGAAAATAATCATGTCACTTACAATGCAGGCAGTTGAGATATAAATTTGTTTATTACAGTTGAGCTGATTCGGCACATGATAAACAGCATTCTGATATGTAAACCAAAATAATAGAGGGCCAATAAGTGTAGATTTCACATATTTACAAAATCTCTTGTGCCACTAGTAGTTTAATTTCCTTTATCATTCAGTGAAGATGCACAAAGCTGCTGTATTATTGCCTGCGTCAACTAGTTTTCCATATACATTCTCCGCTTTACCATTTCACTCTTCTTATTTTCTTCAATGTTTGACAAAACCAGTGATGAACTGCCTTTGGCTTTGAAAAGATGCATGGATTCTCCACTGTTGATGGCTTTGTGGAGATAACTGAAGGCTTGGCAGAGATGATTAAGTACGTGGCAAATGAACCGTCAGTAGGGCTTTTTTATATTCAGCAGCACACTCAAAATGCAGTTCCCAATCTTGTTAGTCTTAGAAATACTGTTGTGGATAAGTCCCGTGAAACAACTTTGCACACTGAAGATTCAGAGGATTCCATAGCCATGGTGAGATCAATGAAAGAATACGGATTCCCCGTTGCTGATGAGATGATTAGAGACATAAAAAAATCTCTAGCGGTTATGTCAACAAAGCAACCAAAGAGGGGGCTAATCCATAACCAAACATCAAGTTTTCAGATGGGAAGAACAAGCTCTTGGAAACCAGCCAGTTGGGTTCGTTCCCCAAGTGTTGCCCAGCAGGACACTGAAAGTGGCTATTTTTCTACTGTAATCAAATCTGCAAGACAAAAGGCGAGCAACTTCAAGTGGCCGCCACTTGATTCTAAAGAATTAACACAGGCTTCTTACCCTAACCCAACACCGTCAGTTGCTTCTGCCAGCACTAGTTCATCTCTGCCAGATGTGGAAGCTGAGGAGTTGCCCGTGTCAAGCCATGTTGCAGATGAGCAACAAGAAGACCAAGTTGATGATAGCTTGTCGACTCATAATTTATTACCAATGGAAAAAAACTTTGATGAATTCAAGGCTGATAAAGAACTTAAACTACAAGAGTGGTTGGAAGGGACTGGCAACGTAGATAATTGCAGGGGAGCAAGTGCTGCAGAAAGATTTTAGCTTGTCGTTGTTAAGATACTGAAACCGCTTTATCATGTACATACTGTTGTGTCTTGTGTTATTATCTATGGATGATAATGTATACATGATTGTTTGAATTTTCAACGGTGATAATAAAAAATTTCTTTGATTCTTGAGTTTGTGGCATGGCAGAAGTCATCAAGCCACCATAACTTTGTCTGTCTCTCTCTGATTCAATATAAAGCTCCTAAACTAGAAGGAAAGGCACTTCTTTGAGGTTGTTTGCCCATGTTGTACGTGCTCAAACATTTGGCAAGATCTATAATTTTCTCTTCTCGGATTCAAATGTGCGAAAGCCTTGCCGTATTATTGAACTGTCGAACGTGGTTTTGAAAATTCTACCGTTCTCCATATTCGTTCATTATTCAACCCGTAGAAGAAAGGCTTTGGAGTTTACCAAAACAAAAGAAAATGGGGTTTGAGCGAATGAGAAATGCTAAAAGGGCCTTGTTCTGGTTTTTATGGACGAGGAGGAGGGGTGGACCAGTTGAGTGGTAAATCTGAAGGACAAAAAACTGCTCTGCCGGTAAATGTAAATTGGCAAAAAATGAGTAATTAAAAAAGGTGATGTGGAAGATGACATGTATTGCCAGCATATACACATAATTTTCGCATATTATTGAATAAAAATAATATATATTCAAAAAATTAAATAAATCATATTAAAATCTATATATATAAAGCAAAAGGCAGAGAATGGTGAAACAATCAAAATACCAGAAAATGCCCTTAGTTAATGCAAAAATTAAGAATTGAAATTATTAATTAAATGAGGATAACATGGTAAATTCACACTTTTTCATTAAAAAAAAATTAAATTTAAAAGAAAAATAATGGATCCTATTTTTATGGAAAATAACTACCCATTATCTTTTTTAATTCTAAAATAAATTTAAATTATATATATATATAAAATAAAATAAAATAACATCTCGCAAACGCTTGCAGAGAGGCTAGTATTATATAGTGGCAGAACTTATCAATTGTAATTTGCCAAAATATTGCCGAATAAAACACGTACGTATTTTGTTCATATTTTTCTCGTTATGTGTTTTACTAACTATGAAAGAATGTGAGAGGCTAAGATTATTTCTTGTTGTAACAAAAATGCAAGATGGGTGATTTTACAATCTCTTTGCCAACTAGAACAACAATTTCAAACAAATATTTATGGGTATAGTAGTAAGTGAGGTTGTAGTAGTCTTCATGTAAAGTGGTGTTTGAAATATGAAGCAATTACCAAGAACACTCCAACACAGAATGCAATTCTCTACAACAAATAATGTGTGCAGTAATAGAATTTAGTAGCAATCGAGAGAATGAGGTAGACCAAAGGCAAACATTCCCACACAAAAAAAGAAGGAGAAAAAATTGAAGTCTCAAATTGATTTACTGTGAAATTTCTCTCTCTTCAATATCTGCTTTGGAGATGTCAAAACTAGCAAATTAATATCTATAAAGTATAAACTATGCAACGAGAAGGGCCCATTTCTTTTTTAAAAAATTTAATAAATAGTATAGCCGACGGGCTATACTTTATTGACACGTGGCAACAAATTGCTAGGCAGGTCCTTTCTTTGTTTTTTTAATAAATTGTATAGCCTCGCGGCTATACTTGTGAATATTTTTTTAAAAATGGGTATCGCCGGCCCGCTATATTACGGTTTTTTATGATTAAAAAACGTATAGCCGAGCGGCTATACTTTTATTGACACGTGGCATCGAATCGCTAGGTACTATAACTATATTACGGCCTTCCCTTATAATACTTCGGGTGCTAATGAAACTATTTTAGTGAAATTTAACTGTCTTAATTCTATAACTATATTATGGCCTTCCCTTATAATACTTCGGGTGCTAATGAAACTATTTTAGTGAAATTTAACTGTCTTAATTCCCCGGCGATCGCGCCAAAAATTCGGGTTCCTTTAGGATTTCCTTCTTGATCAATAACAACTGCAGCATTGTCATCCTTTTTTTAAAATAGTATAGCCGGGCGGCTTAACTCTGGATTTTTTTAATAAAAAAAAGAGTAATGCCATCCGGTTTTACTGGGTCCTTTTTTTTTAATTATTTTATAAATAGTATAGCCGCCCGGCCATACGCTTTACATAGACACTGTATAAGACTTGCAACATGATGGGGTGCATGTCTACTGTCTACAAGCAAACATTAATACTGAATATTCTCAAAACAACGTTTTACATATAAAGAATTTAGCATTTTCACTTTTAATACTCGTATTGTACACGTACGTATCTTTCATGTTTAATACACTTGTTATTTACAAAATTTTCAAGAATACACACAAAATTCACGTATTAAACAAAAAATACTCACATATTATTGAATAAAAATAAAATTTATTATAAAATATACTCCTATTGTACACATGCGTATGTATTTTTCATGTTTAATATACTTATTTTTTACAAAATTTTCAAGAATACACACAAAATTCACGTATTATACAAAAAATACTCACATATTATTGAATAAAAAAAATTATTATAAAATTTAAATACTAATTATTCATTAAGTAAAGAGTAATTAAAACATAACTACTAATTAAAGTAATTACAAAAGAGAGATTCAGATTATGCCATTCAATTGGTATCGCCGAACGGCTATACGTTTTAAAAAATTCTATTTATAGAGACTAGCCGCACGGCTGTAAATTTAAAATATTCTATTTATAGGGTATAGCCGTTCGGCTATACTCCTTTCCAAAAAAAAAAAAAAGGGGCGCTGGGCGCTAGGCGGTTCCCCCTTTTTCTTTTTCTTTTTTTTTAATAAATAGTATAGCCGCACGGCTATACGCTGGCATTTTTTTTAATTAAAAAAGAGTAAAGTCGCCCGGCTTTACTGGGGTCCTTTTTTTAATTCTTTTTTATAAATAGTATAGCCGCATGGCTGTACGCTTAACATAGACACTGATCTTTTTTTATAGTTCTTTTTCCCCGATTTTTGTTTATCGATAAGGGTAGTTTGGAGCATTATCCAATACTATTAGGCCATTACCCTCCTTTTTTTAATTCTTTTTTATAAATAGTATAGCCGCATGGCTGTACGCTTAACATAGACACTGATCTTTTTTTATAGTTCTTTTTCCCCGATTTTTGTTTATCGATAAGGGTAGTTTGGAGCATTATCCAATACTATTAGGTCATTACCCGAGTCTCTATTGTCCCCTTTTGAGTTTTTACTTTTCCAGAGTTATTACCCGTATGAAGAATTTAGAATTTTCACGTTTAACACACTTGTTTTTACAAGATTTTCAATAATACACACAAAATTCAAAAGTTGGTTCCTCTAGCATTATTGAAATCTTTTTCTGGTTATTAATAAGACTTGCAACATGATGGGGTGCATGTCTACTGTCTACAAGCAAACATTAATACTGAATATTCTCAAAACAACGTTTTACATATAAAGAATTTAGCATTTTCACTTTTAATACTCGTATTGTACACGTACGTATCTTTCATGTTTAATACACTTGTTATTTACAAAATTTTCAAGAATACACACAAAATTCACGTATTAAACAAAAAATACTCACATATTATTGAATAAAAATAAAATTTATTATAAAATTTAAATACTAATTATTCATTAAGTAAATAGTAATTAAAACATAACTACTAGTTAAAGTAATTACAAAAGAGAGATTCAGATTATGCCATTCAATTGGTATCGCCAAACGGCTATACGTTTTTTAAAATTCTATTTATAGAGAATAGCCGCACGGCTGTACATTTAAAATATTCTATTTATAGGGTATAGCCGGTCGGCTATACCATTTTCCAAAAAATAAAATAAAGGGCGCTGGGCGCTAGGCGGTTCCCCCTTTTTCTTTTTCTTTTTTTTTAATAAATAGTATAGCCGCACGGCTATACGCTGGCATTTTTTAATTAAAAAAGAGTAAAGTCGCCCGGATTTACTGGGGTCCTTGTTTTAATTATTTTTTATAAATAGTATAGCCGCATGGCTATACTCCTCACATAGACACTGTCACACTGGTCTTTTTTTATAATTATTTTTCCCCGATTTTTGTTTATCGATAAGGGTAGTTTGGAGCATTATCCAATACTATTAGGTCATTACCCGAGTCTCTATTGTCCCCTTTTGAGTTTTTACTTTTCCAGAGTTATTACCCGTATGAAGAATTTAGAATTTTCACGTTTAACACACTTGTTTTTACAAAATTTTCAATAATACACACAAAATTCAAAAGTTGGTTCCTCTAGCATTATTGAAATCTTTTTCTGGTTATTAGTAAGACTTGCAACATGATGGGGTGCATGCCTACTGTCTGCAAGGAAACATTAATACAGAATATTCTCAAAACAACGTTTTATAAATAAAGAGTTCCAGGCAGCACTGGTTTGCATCCAATTACTAACCAATCAATCGATTGCTATAGAAGTAAAGCATTTTTGCATCTTACCATATAATCTTATCATTATTGTACAAGGAAAATCATTATCATGCTTACTCAATTGGTTTGCTTTATTTTGTAATTTTGTTAGAAAATAAAAATAAAAATCAACACTGCAAATCCGCAGAGATTGCTTCCTTAACACGCATTAACTCAACAAGTTGTGGACGTGGAAAGATTACAACCCTGATATCATTCCACCACTCAACAATCACTGGGGTCTCGTCATAGAAGCCTCGACCAAGGGCTCACCACAATCAGCTTGGTAACAATTGTCCTGGACAGTAGGTATAATTGTGGCATGGTTCATGAGTTTCATGTTTAAATGCTAGGCCAAACATGTTGCCACGATTGTCATCTCCGTTTAATTCAGGCTTCTTGAAAGATGGCTTGGAGTTGCTCTTGCTCAATGTTCAATTGGTTGCAGCATTTATCATTGGCCCAAGAAGACGAGAGCAAGTGGCACCATTTTCTTCTACAATTGAGCATGCTGGTGGTTATTCAGCCAAAGAACATGCTGAGCCGAAAATAGCTTTCACAAGTCTTTGGTAGCAGAAACTTGTAAAGTCTTCATGGTGGCCACTTGTACGCAGACTCAAAGGTGAATAGAACAGTCCCATAAATTGGGAAAAGCATGCACCACAAAGGCCGACTCCCCTAAGCCAAAGGATATGGATCTCAACGCTACAAAAAGTAAATAATGCTCACTGAGTGGAACCACTTTCAAGGTAAAGAAAAGTTAATGATATCTCACCTCTCATCAGAAGAGGTCATCTACTCATTCTTCAACACATCGGAATGATTTTGCCCTAACAAAATACAGAAAACAATGTTTATTGGAAAAATGTATATTAACAAATGCAGAAGAAAAAGAAAGATACAGGCATTACCACAGTTGGCAATACATAAGCCTATAAGTTTAACTGCACTGTACTATGAAAAAGTCAAGAAAAAAACTTAACAAAAAGAAAAAGGTAAACTCGAAGATTTAGGGAAGAAAGAGGAAAAGGCAACCTAGGACTTTGTTGCATGCTCTGCTAAAAAAGGGAAGAGAGGGGGAGGGATTATGTCCCACTAATTTTCTTAATATGCATTGAGTGACACAAATTTGTAAGAAAACCCTCAAATTTACCTGAACCAAGTGTATTAGAGGGTGCTTGACTTGTGGTCTTAGTTTCGTCTGACACTTTATCATTCACCGAGTTTGAATTAGCAGAAGGTGCAGACCCATTGCCATGGCGCATTATTTTAGCCTTTCTGGGAAATTAAGGAAAATAACCACAGCATAAATAATAATTTAACTGACTTTGTAACAGAGATATATTTCTCATGGGAGAAAAAAGTGAGAAATGAATTATCCTAGTAACAGAATATTCAAAGCTTCTACCTGACCAGTTTTCGTTTCAAAGTGCCAGCTTTCAGCTTTGATGTCCCTTCAAAAACCACTTTCATTGTTATTTACCAACTCTCATATTTTGCCCGAAAATATATTGATAAAAATCAGCGTTAACCACTCACCAGACTTTAAAGCCAATGAAGTCGAAGCTGGTTTACGAATGCCCCTTTCAGCTTTTATTAAGGCAATTACTGAATCAGCAGTAGGCCCCAATCCTTTTCTCCCCACCAGCTTCACTCCCAGCTTTTCACAGAGGTAATTCAACCTCATCTCATCACCTCCTCGCACCTCTCTGAGGTCAAGAACCTGCTGCCTAGATAACAAAGTGTAAACATGAAGTTGCTGCTGCTGATTAAAATGTGACTGAAGCTGCTGAAAAAGTAACTTATTTGAATGCTGTTGATCAGGTTTTGCACTGTCATGACTCTTCTTTCGAGGCTCATTAAATGTCACTCTTAAAATTGCCGTCGACTTAGGATCAGCATTCCTTCGACAAAAGATAACAGAAAAACTCCCAAATTCTAAATCAGGCTCCCTAAATAAATCCGCAAGAAGGGAAGCACAAGAATGGGCGTTCTTTGATGGGTTCCTGTTAATTTTTATCCTCAGGGCACGAGCGTTAGCATAGTGAGCCATATTTGCAGCTTCTCTGAGCCCACTAAGAAAAGCGCCATGCATGGTTGCAGGATATCTCCGATTGGTAGCCTCACCTGCAAAGAAAAGCCGTCCATCTCCTACACTTTCTGCTAAAATATCATAATCATCTCCTGACGCCCCTACTGCCACATTAGAGTAAGAACCTAGGCTGAAGGGGTCGCTTCCCCATCTGGTACAGACTGTTTGGATGGGCTCTGGGACGCTAATTCCTTGTGGTTCATATATACCTGCATTGATATACCATAACTGAGTAACTGTTATGAAAACTTGTGAATTTGCGGAACTTCATATATGTGGGGAAAACAGCTTTCATTTATGAAAAAAAAAAATTAAAGCAACATGAATGGATTACCCTTGAGAATCTGAATAACCCGGGTCACAGCATCCGTAGGGGGCATGCTCTCAAACTTATGTGCAGCTTCACCTGCTACTAAAGCAATCAAAAGGGGACCGCCAGCAACTGTTGCATAGCTGTAAAACAGGAAGAACTCCCCTCGACGGGTTGAATCATCAGAAAGGTGGCCAAAGGTATCAAGATCTGTGCCCCAGAACACATGAGGAAAAAGCATTGCAACCTTATTCAACAGTCCGAACCCCAACCTCTTTATTCCATCAAGCTTTCTCTGAGGCAACTCTGGAATAAACTTGATGGACCCACTCTTCAAAACCCCAAGTGGAACAGTGCACAATGCCATATCACCCTCAAAAACCTGGCTGCCAGTAATAACCTGCACTCCATCACTACCATACCTAATGGTGTGCACAATTTTCTCATATAAGATCGGTACATTCTCTGCCAAAGCCTGCACCAGCCTTCCATTACCTCCAGGCAAGAAGCAATGGTCCCCTCCCATATCATACGGATCATCTTGGTCCCAAAATGCAAGTGAAAGATTTGATATTAAACCTGCATTTGCATATTCCAAATTTGCAAGATGCCAATTAAACAAGTTCATCTCCTCAGCATTCACAGCATCCCCGTAAACCTGCCAGAACGTTTCCAATGCTGCACCAAGAGACACATCAACTGAAACACCTCCCATTAACTGCCTAAGCCTACTTGCCTTATCTAGAAGCTGGTTAAAAGCAGTTTCCACCTTCATATCCATATCAGGATCTACAGGCTTCCCATCAAAACTATAAAGTGGGCACTTATCCCTCACTTTATGAAGCACATAACCCAATTGGCGTGCAACAATGCCAAGTGGGTTCCCTAATGTACCAGTCAAAACACTCCCTCCTAAATCCGCCGCTGCACATACCCTAATTCCTCCCTCCATTTTCTTTGTATAAACCCGCCCGCCCGCTCGCTTCCTACCCTCCAAAACAGTCACTTTAAACCCAAAACGCATCATTTGCCTGGCAGCAGCCAGACCAGCAAGCCCAGCACCAATCACAATCACATGTGGTTTACTGGGTTCAGCCGGAATCTTCTCTTTGATAGCCGGAGCAACCCCAAAGTTAATATAACCATGCGAAACCAGATATTTATAAGTAGAATTCAACAGGGAATGACAATGTTTAGGTATAGAATCAATAAATATATCTTTTGTGACCCAATTCGACACATTTTCACGCCATTTAGCAATTATGTGGTTCCTAATGAGAATGTAATTGACTTGCTCTATGCCCCCAATAACTCGAATTACCCCGAAATCGATTTCCTCCTCGGTGAGCGAATCAGCAGGAAAACCCGCCGACAGCGCGATCAGCGCCTCCGCCGTGGACTCCTTATTGATCACGATGATCTCGTCGGACATATCAGGCATGGTTCTTGCCGAAGAACCAGGGATTTCTACATTATTTCTAGAGGAATGAGCTGAAATTGAACTGGAAAAAGAAGCAAGACCGTTGTTATTACTGTTGAAAACGCCGTTGGGAATTGGAGGTAACTGAAACGACGTCGGAACCCTATGAGGCCTGCCTCGTCTTCGTTTCTTGGGGACCGAGAAGGAAAGAAGGTGAGCTGAGCTAGGGTTTTCGACTGTATTTGGAATTGGCGCTGCGTTTGAATTGGGGTTAGGGTTTTCTGGGGGAACAAAGAGGGCGAACGGGATTGGAGGGAACGAAGAAAAATCATCAGGGAATTCGTTAGGTGGATCCATCGCCGTCTGTACTGGTTGGGGTAGTGGTGGTGAAGGAGAAGAATGAAATGAACTGTTTGGTTCCCGGGAAAATTTTGCCACGGTAACTATGTTAACGGGTTTTGATCCGATAGGGTTAAATTGGATTTTAAAACACTATTTAGGGATAAAAGAGTTTAGTATAAAAAGACTTTTAAGTAATTTATGAAATATTTAAATATTATTTATTTATTAAGTAAATAATAATTTAAATATAATTTATCTATATATATAGATAGAAAGCGTTAAAAGTGAAACATTCAAAAACCCTCGTAATATCCTTAAAAGTAAACTAGAAAAATAAAACACACAATATTTTAATTAAAAGGGGTAAAATTATAAAACAACACTGAATTAAAATAGAATATGAAAAAGAAAAAGAATGAGATAGCAAATTAAATAATGATAAATTAAAAAAAAAAGAAATAAGAAGAATGACGGGTTGAAGAAAAAAAAAAAAGAGCTGTTAAAATAAGGATGCTATTAAATGAACCCTAAAATTAACTGAGTGTTCCCTACTACCAAACTATTTATTGAATTACTAATTTATTCTAATATAAAATGACCAAAAATGATATATTGAATTATAAAACAAATGTAATTTTAACCAGATAACTCTACTAAATATATTCAACCATAATCAAACCTAAGCGAAAAACCCTACTTCCAAAAACATATCTATAAGCCATATTTCCGAATTTTCAGTAAATAATTTGGTTTTTTTAAAGTAAAATATTTTACAAATATAAAATATAAAATCAAGGGGAATGTGTATGAAAACTCACCCAAGAACCCAGATGACAACACCAAGAACATTGCAACCAAAGCAAAAGGCAAACTTATCAAGAAACCCAATGGTCTGCAACCTCCCATGCTAATTAATCGCATATAAATTAATAAATTAATAAACTATGATATGATTTTGATCAACAAAAAAAACCCCTTTCCTTCACCTAAAACACTTCTTTGATATCTCTTTAATATATATGGGTTTTGAGAAGCGTTGTGGTTTTTCTGTGGATTTTGAAAGAGAAGATGGAGAATGTTGAAGTTGTCATAAAGGCAGGTAAACTTGTCAAATCATACCTATGTTGATCAAAATCATATCCAACAACTTGTGTGATAGAGTGTTTTAGGGTGTATAATAGGGTGTACTTAGTTAATTTTACATTTTGATTTAAATATTATGGTGTATTTAGATCATAAAGTGTACTTAGTTATTTTTAGTGATCGTTAAACAACACCCTATCTATATCTTTTTGCATTGATTGTCTAATTAATAATATGAAAATGTGCAGAGGATTAATCTTAACCATAAAGTTTTCTTAAATCAGGTACCCTCCTCAGGATCTTCATTTCATATGACTATACATTAATTTCAATTATTTTCAAACTTCAAATATAAATCAAATTGCATTTTCTAATTACAGTTCTACAAACATCATACTCATATTTATGTGAAAAAGCTCAAAGATAAGATTAAGGTAACATATCCCAATTTCCTATATTCAAGTCTGAGTACCTGATTGTTAAAACGAATATGACGAAATGAAAATCTGAAGCATCAAGTGCGGACCAATGCATGGCAAAAGTGGCATTAATTTGAAAATCATGTTCCACTAAGTGTATATATGTACATATTTATGCAAAAGTGGCGTTAATTTGAGATGTACATATTGTTTTTTCGTACTCTATGTTTATGCAAAATGATTGCTAAGTCAAGTTAATTAATTTTTATGCAACGGTATAGCCGGCTGGCTGTACTCTTTAAATCTATTCGAATATAATATTTAAAGCGTCTAGCCGAACGGCTATACCGTTTGAGTATATACGAATATTTTAGTAGTATAGCCGAATGGCTATATTCTTTAAATATATTCTAATATTTTAAAAGTATAGCCTCGCGTTTGTACTTTTAAAAAAGATTAATATTTAAACCGTATAGCCATGCGGTTATACTTTTAAAAATATTCATATTTAACGAGTATAGCCGCGCGGCTATACATTTTAGTATATATATTTTTTAAAGTATAGCCGCACGGCTGTACGGCACAAAATGGTTTTCTTTTTTACAAAAGTAATATCTTAGCCTTTTTAATTACTTTAATTAGTATTTAAATATTTCATCAATTTCATAAATTACTTAATAAACACTAATTAATTATTTTAAATTATTTTGTGGAATTTGTTTTTATTAATTTTATACAAAATTAGTTTGTTTAGTTTAATATTCGCAATTAAGTAATATCTTAGTCTTATTCAATTATATTAATTATTCTTTATTTCATAAATTACTTAATAAATACTAATTAATTATATTCACTTATCTTAAATAATTTGGTGGACTTAAATTATTTTTTTAAAATTTCCCAATGTATATTTTAAATAGTTTCAATTGTTACAAAATTATTTTAGTATTACAAAAATGGATTTGAGTGTTCAAACCCTAAATCCAAGTCTCAAACCTTTCTCAAGCCTCGAACCCTAACCACGAGACTACTCTGGGGCCTGTTGCTTCGATTCAGCTGCATCAAAATGGATTCAGCTGCATCCTCAACTTGTGATACTCGCAAGTGCACGAGCCGTTTGGTAGTATAGCATATGTAAGTGCGAGGTCGATCCCACGAGGATTGGTGATTGAATGATCCAATTTGTTTCCCCTACACAAAATAGAAATGAAAAAGGAAATAAATAAAACAAGAAAAAAAAGAAATAACTCAAGCAAATAAGTTCCCAAGTTCAATTAGATTAACGGATTGATTCTAGCTAAAGTATGATTAAGCCATGGTGTGTGGTCATAACCTTGTGTTCCTAATTCCCTAATTTGATCATTTGTTGTCTAACCTAAAACTAAGCATTAGGAACCCATTAAGCATAGAAGAACAATTTAAACAACCAAGCATGTATCTAATCCCTGTTGTCGAATGTCCATACATACTCTTCCTATTCATAGTTCAATTCGAATTAAAGCATGGTATCTACTCTTAATTCAAACCAAGATAGCTAACATGCAAGCCTAAATGGTGATCAATCATTCAAACTAGCATATTAACTTATAAGCATAATGAATAAGAACAAAAACCATAATTGAAACTTGGAAACTAATTAAACTTGAATACTTAAGAAAGAATGTACATTACAAATAAAAGTAAAGTAGAACTTGAAAAACTTAAGGAGAATTTCAGCACAAATATTTCATTACAACAATTGAAAACTAGAAAGGAAACTAAGAGAATTTGAGGGAGAGAAGGAAAGGGAGCTCTACAGAAGTGTTTGAGAGCTCCCCCCCTTGGGGTGTGATTACAAGCTTAGAGAACTTCCCTATTTATAGGCCTAGGGGAAGTGAAAATCAGAACTCAATAAGACTAATGCATACAACACTTGAATAATAAAATCTGAAATGGTTGATGCACTTGTATTAAAAAATCTAAATTGGGTGATGCACTTGTATTAGAAAATCTAAATTGGGTGATACACTTGTATTAGAAAATCTTGAATTGGTTGATGCACTTCACCAATAAATCCCAACAGCAGCCCTAGCTCATCTTCATGTCACCATGACCAAACTTCCAACCAGAAACAATAGCTCATCCTGAGGTCAGCATGACCAGCAACTTCAAGGGCTTACAAATTGGGCTAGGCTGAATCAAATGAAGACTTTAAGATGTCCATTGTGAAGTTCAGAATGTGTATGATCCAACCACACAAGTATTGGCCCAATCCAAGCTCGGATGAAGAAGTTAAGGCCAAAACAAATTGCTAACTCATTTTGCGCGCTGATAAAATCCATCCTGAGCATGGCTCTGTGTTTGCTAGGTAACAGACTCCACAATTATCCAATGGGGCTGAATTTCGGATATGTTATAGTA